AATTTTTCCACGAGTAGTTGTAAATTGGCTGTGTCCGCGGGAGGAGGTGAGTTCAGAGTCTGCCTACGCCGCCATCTTGACTTTGCTCTCTCTCTCTCGCTTTTCTTTTTAATAAGTCTTGTTTGGGCAGACACGTCTGGTTGGGGGTGAAACGTTTAGAATCACAGCATTAACCCCCCAGTAAAGCAGCACTGAATCTTGGAGGGGGTATCCGCCCACTGGGGGAAGCTGAGGCCCAAGGGCTGCCTAGCCGTGGGCAAGCACTTGCCTGCTCTGAGCCTCAATTTCCCCACCTGTAAAGGAAGTGCCAGGTTCCATGAGCCCTTGCTGCACTTTCCAGGAGGCAGCTGCAAGGAGCAGAAAGAGCAAAGGTTCGCCTGTCAGACGGGAGAACTTGCATCCAAGCCTCGCTGTCAACTGGCCCTGGCCAAGTTGCTGGAGCCTCCCTGAGCCTGTCCGCGTCTGACAAACGGGGGTGAGTGAGCGGGCTGATCTCAGAGGAAGGACGGCTTGACGAGGCAGCCGTCTAACAGACCGCAGTGCTTCCTGTTGGGTTGTCAGAGGCTACAAGAGCTTACCTTCCAGGAATTCTAACACTCGTCTCGGTGTCAGACAGAAAAGTAGCTCAGAACATGGGCTCTGGGGCCAACTGCCTGGCTTCTAGTCTCAGCCCTGCCACTGACTGTGTGATCTTGGGCCACTGAACTCATCTCTCTATGCCTCAAGTCAGCTGTCTGTAAAATGGTACTAACAAGAGACCTTACCTCATGGGGTGACTTTTGTAACATAAGTTACAATTCTCTCTTGTAAACTGTCCAGTTCAGCGGTTGTTAGTACCACAGAGTTGTACGCCATTGCCACAATCAATTTTAGAACATTTTCATCACCACAAAAAGAAACCCTGTACTTCTGAGCAGTCATTCTCTATCTCTTCCCCACCTCCCAGCCCTAGTCAACCACTAATCTGGTTTCTGTCTCTATAGATTTGCCATTTCATATAAATGCTATCATACAGTATGTATGATTTTGTGATGGCTTCTTTCACTTATAATATTTTCAAGGTCCATCCATGTTATAGCATGCATAAGTACTTCCTTCCTTGTTTATGGCTGAATAATATTCCATTGCATAGATAGAACACATTTTGTTTATCCATTCATCAGTTGGTATACATTTGAGTTGTTTTCACCTTTTGACTATTGTGAATAATGCTACTGTGAACATTCCTGAACAAGTGTTTGCGTGGACATGTGTTTTCACTTCTCTTGGGTACATACCCAGGAGGGGAGTTGCTGGGTCACACGGTGACTCCATGTTTAACTGTTTGAGGAAGTGCCAGACTGTTTTACACCATCTGGTAAACGGCTGCACCATTTTACAGTCCCACCAGCAGTCTAAGAAGGTTCCAGTCTCTCCACATCCTCACCAACACTCATTATTGTCTGTCTTTCTTATGATAGCCACTCTAGTGGGCGTGGAGTGGTATTCATGGTTTTCATTTGTGTTTCCCTAGTGGCTAGTGATATCAAGCATCTTTCATGTGTTTAGTGGCCATTCACATTTCTTCTTTGGAGAAATGTCTATTCAGCTGCCTTGCCATTTCTTAAGTGGATTGTCATGTGCACTTTTATTACACCACCTACTGTGTGATATGCACCTACTGTGTGCTGGGCATCATGCCATTGTCACATTGCACCCTCGCCAATATGCTGAGAGGTCGGTGTTAGTATCCCCATTTTACAGCTGAGGAAACTGAGGTTGAGAGAAAGGAAGTGACTTACCCAAGGTCACTCTGCTTTGTTGAGATACAACTAGAACCTGAACCCTGAACCTTGCATTCCATTAGGGAGACAGACAATACAACTGAACAAAAACCAGGTAGTAATGGGCACCAAGAGGAAAATAAAATAGGCGATGTGCTGGCGAGGGCCTGGGCATGGAGGTGGAGGACAACATGAATGGAGAGGGCAGGCACCCCTCTGAGGAGCTGAGACTGACCAATAGTAAGTTGCTGACCATATGGAGATCCAGGGAATGAGCCTTCCAGGCAGAGGAAATGGCCATGCAAAGGCCCTGAGGTGGCATACTTGAAGGGTGGAAAGGAGGGCACCATGATGGGGAGAGAAGAGGGAGGCTGTGGTTGGAGGCAGAGGGTGTGAGATGGGCTCTTCTGTGCTTCAGCTGGGCAGGGAGGAGCCAGGGCTTCAGTAGCTCAGGGGGGATTTGAGGGCAGCGGGACAGTTGCCAGGGCATGGAGTCCTGGGTCAGATCCTGCTCCACTGCAGACTGGCTGTTGGGTCACGGGCCAGGCCTTGTCCCACTCCCAGCTGCAGCTTCCCATTTGAAAATGGGGTTACGGGTGTGGGAGGCATTGGGGTGGGCATCAAACCAGCTAACACAGGTGAATGCAGCACCTGATCCACAGGAGGAGGACAAGAAATGATTACCTCCTCATTCATACACTCAGTGAGGGTCGGGCTCTGCCTGTCCTTTCACCATTAAATTGCCAAGGCCTGGCATGTAGCAGCTGCTCATTAAAAATCAGTCGACTGGATGACCAGGAGGGGGTTATAATACCTACCTCCCAGGATCCTAGTGAGGATCAATTGTGTACATGAGGCTGTGGAGCCCAGTTCTTACACCCACAGGCTCTAGAGCCTGCATTCCAGTGCTGCCTCTGCCTCTGAGCCTCAGCTTACCCACCTGTAAAATGGGCATGACAGAGTTGTGTGGAGGATTAGATGAACAGATGTACATTACAGCCACTCAAGAGATTCAAGAGTCATCATGAGGGTCCTGGGACAAGCTCAGCCGCAGTCAGGGTCCCTTCCTCCCTGCCCCACCATCCCGACCACAGCAGAGGTCCCATCTGTGGAGTTTCCGAGCTATCACTGCTCCTGGTCAAGGCCGGTGCTCCGCTGAAATGTAGGCTCCTGGTGGGTCCCTGGCGGGCTCCTGGTGGGCTCCTGGTGGGCTTGGGGGACACAGGAATGCCGTTTGGGAACTACATTGGAATCAAGTCCTTCCTGTGGTGGTTTCTTCTCTGCAGACGCTGTGCCAGAGGATGGGCAACTGCAAAAGAGAGGCCAGCCATGAGACTTTTTCAAGTTTATTTCCTCCCTTGTGGTGCCAGTTTGTTGGGAAATTAAGGGAATTTTTATCACTTCCATATCTCCCACCCCCAAAACAGAGACCCTGTCGGGTGTGAGGGGCAGCACAGTTCAGTGTCCACAGTCAGGCCTGTAGCCACCAGTGACCACGTGAAGAATGCGCTTCACCCAGAGCCTCCACTCACCTGCGAAAAGGGTGTAGTGATCCCGCAGCCGCAGCCACCCGCCCACCTGTCGGGTGAGGGGGCCAGCAGGTGGGGTAAACTGTGGTGGGCTGTGCACACACAGACCTGCCTCTGGGGACTCTGGCTTTTCCTCTCAGGCCCCTCTTCTAATTTGCTACGGAAAGCCCCCTGCCCAAGGCTGCACCCTGAAATCTCGCTGTAAGCAGGCCTTGCAGCCAATCCTCCAGTCAGTGACTTTGAAGCACTTGTGACTATTCTCCTGGGGAAGAAATACGTTTTACCTACGAGGACAAAAAGAAAGTGCCAGCACTCACGGCGCTTCCATGCTCCCTGAGCTCTGCTGTGTCACTCCTTGGTTCCTCACATAACCCACGTTATGTGAATCTTCTCCCTACCAACAGAGAAGGAATCCGAGGCACAGGAGGTTAAATCATGTATCTGAGGTCACATGGCCCGGCGGGCGGGCTCCAGCCTCTGTGTTTTTAGCCACTGCACTCAGGGTGACCGAATAAAGCTTGTCGCTTTATTATATGCCGTGCATGCTACCTTCTACTCCAGTTCTCTTGTTAAAAATGCAGATCATGACCCACTAAATGGATTTCATAAGTCACTAATGGGTCATGATCTGCAGACCCACAGCAGGATGGGTTGGTTCTCTGAGACCTAGAGGGCCTGGGGCACACAGACTGGGTGCTCCCCAACCTGTCAGCACCCCCAGCTCCAGGACCCCCTCCCAGCCCCCTCCCACCCCAGTTCCCCTTCCTTCAGCCCCATGGGGCCCGGAGCTGGAGAGACCCAATCTCTCTCCCACATGTGAGCTGACAGCTCCAGGGTCCCCGCAGCCCCTAGACCTGGGAAGAGAGCGAGCGGAGGGGGAGGGCCCATCCCAATCTCGCTGTTCAGGGAAAGTCATTACCAGGCAGCCAGCAGAAGAGCTTCAGCCTAGAGGGGCTTTCATTGCTGAAGGCCTGAGCTGGGGGGCGGGAGGAGACTGCTCACAGATAGGGAGATGCTGCTGTGGGGGCTGGTCCTTGAGTCCTGCTCCTCAGCAGGCAGCCACGCTCCTTAACCCTTGAGGGAGCTGGAGCCTGGGAGGCGGCCAGCAGGCAGGCCTCCCCCTGGGCTGTGGGAGGTTGGCACTGGGGTGGGGGCTCTTCAGTCACTTTATTAAGAAACAGTTCCTCTCATCCACGGCTCCAAGTATGAGCTAAGTCTTTCCCCCCCATTATCATACTTAATCCACCCACAGCCCTGGAAGGTTGTCACTGTGAACACCCCACTTTGAGATGAGGAAGCGGAGGCCCGGAGACCAAAGGAGCTCACCCCCAGTCTCAAGGCTTGGGTGGGAGGAGGAGCACAGGCAGAAGCAGGCATTGTGTTTTGAAGGGGAGATGCTTGCAGGTTCTGGGTGAGGGATGTCAGGGGCCTCAGCAACTGGGGGCCTCGGATTGATCTGCATCTTCCTGAGACCTCCTGGGCTCTCAGCAGAGGTCCCGTCCTCTCTCGGGCCAGCACTCTGTCTTTCTCCTGCCTCCGTCCCCTCCAGGCACCACTGGTACAGATCTCCTTCTGCTTCTCCTCCGCTCACACTGGGTCGTGTGCCTGCAGCCTGGCCCACCGCTTCTCACCGTGGGAAGCTGACTCCATGCGGTGTTCGTGTGTCCAGCACCGCGGCAAATCCACATTAATTCTAATCGTTTGCCTACTGATTCTTGGTTGATTTTTCTAGGTAGATGATTAATTCACTGCAAACAGTGACAATTTTGTCATTTCTTTTCACAGCCTTCTATCTCTTTGCTGTGGACTGAGCATTCATGTGTTTGGGTCCCTCCCAAATTCATCTGTTGGAGCCCTAGCCCCCAGTGCAATGGTGTCTGGAGGAGAGGCCTTTGGGAGGTAATTAGGTCTAGACGGGGTCACGAGGGTGGAGCCGCCATGATGACATTAGTGCCCTTACAACAAGAGGGAGAGACAGGAGACGCCCCTCTGCAAGCACACACCAAGGAAGCCCTGCCCAGGAAGGGGCCCTTACCAAGAACCCGACCATGTTGGCACCCCGACCTTGGACTTCCAGGCTCCAGACGGTGAGAAAGAACGGCTGTTTAAGCCGCCCAGTCCATTGTATTTTGTAATAGCAGCCTGAACTAAAATACTCTTTTTTCTGTTTTTTTCCATACAGTGTTAAGGATTTCCAATATATTGTGGATCGTGGTGTTGACAGTAGTATCCTTGTCTTGTTCCTTACTTTACAGAGAATGCATTTAAAGGGTCTCCAATAATAAAAGTTATTTGCTGCAAGGTTTTTTTTTTTAAGGTAAAATAAACACAACATGAAATTTGATATCTGAAGCGTTTTTAAGTCTACAGTTCAGTGATATTAAATACATTCACACTGTTGTGCAACCATCACCAATATCCCCATAACTCTTTTCATCTTATAAAACTGAAACTCTGTACTCATTAAACAACAACTCCCCCTTCTCCCCTCCCCCTAGACCCCGGTAACCACTGTTCTACTTTCTGTCCCTGATTTTGACTTGTCTAGGGACCTCATATAAGTGGAATCATACAGTATTTGTCTTTTTGTGACCGGCTAATTTCACTAGCTTAATGTCCTCAAGGTTCATCTATGTTGCAGTATATGTTAGAATTTCCTTCCTTTTTGAAGCTGAATAATATTCTGTTGTGTATACAGACCAGATTTTCTTTATCGCTTCATTCATCGATGGACACTTGGATTGCTTCCACTTCTTGGATGTTGTAAAGAACGCTGCTATGAACATGGGTGTACAAATATTTCTTTGAGATCCTGCTTTCAATTCTTTTGGGTTTAATACCCAGAAGTGGAATTCCTGGACCATATGATAATTCCAGTTTTAATTTTTTGAGGAACCACCACACTGTTTTCCACAGCAGCTGCACCCTTTTACATTCCCACCAGCAGTGCACAAGGTTCCAATGTCTCCACATCCTCTCCAACACTTGCTATTTATTGGTTGGTTTTGTTCTTTTGATAGAGCCATCCTAATGGGTACGAGGTGGTATCTCACTGTGGTTTTGCCTTGCATTTCCCTAATGATTAGTGCCCTTCACTCTTTTCCACATCACTTTCCAGGTCCTTGGATCAGCAAAGGTGAGGCAGGTCGAGGTCTTGTTTGCCTCCAGATCTCCAGTGCCGAGTGTGAAGCTGAGCATGTAGCAGCTGCTCCGAAACGGAAGGAGTGGCATGACGTTTAGGGTGAAAGAGGAGCCACTCCTGGAGCGAGGAGGCCCCCGTCACTGGAGGCACGGAGGGGCAGCCAGATAACCACGGCAGCCAGTTATCAGTGGGCACTCTGTCAATTAGCCCTTCCTCGTTCTCGCCTGACCTCTGCCTCCCTGGGGTACACTCAGCGCCAGGTCACCATCCAGCAGACATTTCCCAAGGGCATCCTGTGTGCTGGGCCCCGGGACAAGTGCACGACACAAAGGGAGGGAGGTGGGATGTCCAGGGCATGTGACACACACCACCCAGCCCTCTGGGCTGGCACGGCTTCACACACGCAGAGAGATCTGCAGCCCCTTCCCACCCACTGCCAGCCCCTCAGGCAGGGCTGTCCCCAGGCAGCCCCAGCCCCTCAGGCCAGCGTGAGCCTGGGGCCCACACAGTGGTCTCAGTGTTCCCCCGGTTGTCCTTGGCCTGGTCTGCCCCCTCCCTTCTGCTCTGTCAGTCACAACCAGCCTACTCGCTAGGCAGGAGCCCACCCCAGTCTCGGCTGGGGCTCTGGAGGGAGCCCTGCCTCCCTGGGGAGCTGAGCGCCTTTGCTGGCTGAGGAGAGACCTGGCTCCTCCTCCTGCTCACAGCCCTTGCTTCTCCACGATGGCCTCAGACCCCAGGCCCAGACTGAGGACTGTCCCTGCACCTGGCTCCTCTTAGAAAAGAGAAGGCTGAAGCGCCCCTAGCCCAGTGACCAGCGCAGCCTGTCCGGATCTGGCTCCCAGCTCTCCCCGCCTCTGCGTTTACTCTGCTGACCTGTCTCTTCTCCTCCCACCCGCCTACCTTGAATCCTCCCACTACAGCTGTACAAACCCAGCAGATTTAAAGTCTGCTCTGGCTAAGCAAGACATGATTCCCACCAAGGGATGGTGAGGCCCCCCTCCCAGAGCTCTGAATGCAAAGCTGTCTGCCACTGTCCCTCTTGTAACAGAGGACCCGGAGATGAAACGTTAGCATCCAGGCACTACACCTTGATCCGCACCCTGACGCTTCTGACTGCTGAGATCTCTTTTCAGCATAATAGTCCACTATGCTGCGACATCCACACCCACTGACTGTAAACCTTCCAAACCTCAAGGGGAACGTTTGTTCTTCTTCCTCCCAAACACTTCTTGGCGGTTGAGCATGCTGCAAACCTCAATTCAGTCATCTCTCCCCGTCTAGGGCACAACTGCTCGGCAAGTCTCCCATGTCCTCAGCCAAGCTGCATATTTAGGGAAGAAGTGACCAGGCCAAGCACAAGGTCTGCCCTTCAGGCTCATCACTGCTCACGGGGTGTGGCCGAGCAAGCTGCTACCTGAGCCACATCTATCCACCTTGTCCATGAGGACAAGAGATTTCACCCAGTGTCTTCCTGGAATCTGGATATTCTAGGCCTAAGGCACGTCTCTCACTACTGATCTAGTCACCCTGCTGGAAGAGGAACTGGGCTCAGTGGGTGGTTTTCAAACATGTCCACAAATTCTTCAAGAGTCCTCCCGTCAAGAGGTGGAGTCTCATTCCCCCCCCTTGAATGTGGGCTGGCCCCGGGGACTCACACAGTGAACGTAATGCTACAGGACTTCAGAGGCCAAGTCATAAAAGGCAACACAGCTCCCACCCAGCTCTCTCAGGACACTCTCTTTTGGAACTGAACCGCCATATTGTGAGGAAGCCCAGACCACATGGAGCGGCCATGTGTAAGTGTTCTGGCTGACAGCCTGCACTGACCACCAGGCGTGTGAGGGAGCAAGCCTTTGAGATGATGCCAGGCCCTAACTTCTGATGGCAACAGCATGCAAGAGCCACCGAGCTGAGCCCAGTCAGCCTCTGGGCCATCAAGACACTAACAATAAATGACTGTGTTGTTCTGCACCATCAAGCTTGGGCAGTTAGTTGCACAGGTACAGACAACACCGCTGTCGTTGTGGCAACACTTTCTTGTCGAGATTCCATTCCCTTCTTCCCTAAGTGTTTTCACACTGTCAACCTAATAGGCCATTCTAGAATTAGGAAGAGTCCTTACAGTCTCAGGAATCTGCCCCTTTCCTTTCAAGAACTTAAACCACCTATGTGTCTGTATAGTTTTCTCATTCTTTCCCACCATTCCTCAAAAATTGTTGAAAACTGTTGTAAGCATACTATTAAGTCCTTTTAGAACCGCTGGATATAACAAATTAGGAGCCCAGAACTCATTTTAGTAAGAATAATAATAGCACTGACAACTGTAATTTGTAACCTCTCAGTAAATGTTAGTGATGCCAGCACTTCACATGTATTGACTCATCTAATCCTCAGAACCCAGTCCAGTGAAAACTATGCTTATTCTTGCTGAGGCACAGAGAGGGTAAGCGGTGTGCCCAGGTCACACAGCTACTAAAGGTGGCCAGACTCCTTTTTCCTGCCCCTTTGCCTATCTTAGGTATAGGCTGCCCTTTCCTATTAAAGGTCATCCTCCTTTTGAGGATAGCGGAGCCAAATAAGAGCTGTGTCCTTTTGTAACTAGTTTTTGTAACTGGCTCTTGGCATCCCCCACTCCCCTTCTGAGTGTCTCTGAAAATGCCTTTGCTTGTCGTCTTTGGCCTCTGCTGATCTACATCATCAGGGCCTTCCTGAAGGTGTCCTCCCCAGCCCTTTGGTCTTTGGTGTGTTTCTTACTCAAACCTGAGCAGCCCCACTGCCTCATCTCCCCTTCTCCCTGGCACTGTCGAGGAACTGGTCTTCAAGGACCTCCAAGCCCTCCCTCTTTGGGTCTCAGGCCTTGAGGTCTCAGTGACTCTTCGCCCTGCACCTGTCAGTATCTGCCCTTCCTGATGTCCACCACTTCCTCCGGATCCTGCTTCTCGAGCAAGTGTCCGGGTGCTGGGGTCACAGCATGAGCCCCACGGTTCCTCCAGGGGTGGGTTTCCCCTGGACCTCTTGAGGGTCAGGAAGACATTCTGACTAGGTGCAAACTCAGTGCACTGGGGAGAGGCTGGTGTCAAAGCTCCTAGAAAGCTGAGGGGCCTGGTGGGAGTAGGGGCTGCCCAGACTCGGTGCAGTCGGGGCGCAATCACAGGCAAGCCGCAGCTGCAGGCGGGTACCGCTTTTTACACACATTTGCTCATCACTTTATGGTTTATAAAACACTTCAGCAAACACGCTTTCATAAGATCCTCGCAACAATGCTTTGAGGCAGGCATTATTACCCTCATTTTAAAGGTGAGAAGAGTGAGGATTAGGGAGGCAAATGGTGAGTTCATGGTGACCCAGCTCATAAGGAGCAGAGTGGAGGCTCCAGCCTCATCCTGGGACCCCTAACCCAGTAGGTTTTTCACTGCACCCCAGTGCCCAGGCATTCTAGAACCCGCTCCTATCTCCTAACATAGCCTGCAGCAATGGCGGTAAACCCCAGGCTCTGTCCCTGGACCAGTGAGAGAACTACCTTTGCTCAGCTCACCCAAGCCAGGCCCGGGTGGCGCTCAGCTGATGGGCATCACCTGGCTGAAAAGCCGGCGCTCAGAGGCCGAGAGGCAGGCTGGGGCCAGCACTGAGCTCACCCCATGAGCGACCCTTGTCTATGTGGCCCTGCTGGGAAACAAAGTTGAAACGGGACTGGGATCCACAGAGGATGGGGTGGGTGCGGTGGGACAAACCGCAGGGGTCTTGCTAGGGGCCCACCCAAACCCATCTTCATGATTTCCCCCACAGAACCCGGTGCCTCGCAAACGATCCTGTGTCCCTGTCTCCAAGAGGGCCTCTTCCCCAAGTTCCCAGAGACGCCAACAGCACGGCCTGTTCACCCCCTCACCGCCAGCTCTCCTGCCTGCCCCCGACCTGCGTGGGCACCTCGCCAGCCTCCACCATCCAGGGCCCACTCCTTCCTCCCCTCCACGCTGCCCTGGGCCCGCCCCTCATCCGCCTGTTTCTGTTTTACCTAAATTTGTAGTCCGCCCACAGGTAGCAGCCCCCCTCATAGTTGTGTCGAGCCTGGTCGATCCAGCTCAGCAGATTCTCCCTGCTTAAGCGGGGCCAAAGGAAGCCCCCAGGAACAAGGAGCTTCCCTGCAGCGAACATCTGCTGACACACAGGAAGGAGACAGTGGCAGAGGCCCTCAGCACGTCAGCCCTGACTCTCAGGACAGGCCAGGGCTCTCAGAGCTTGTGCCAGGACCCAGGCCTTTCTTCCGTGGACGGGCAAGGGGCGTTGCCCTCCCCTAGTCGCCCAGTGAGGTGTGGCTGAGCCTGTCCCCCGTCCAGGTCCCCCAAGTCAGAGGGCAACTGCCCATCCCAGCCTTGGCCCTGCCAGCCCAACCAGCTCAAACGCCACTTCACACACAAGCCCTCCCAGGGCCCCAGGCCAGAGGGCGTCTCCCTACTCAAGGGCCCCGACCCCAGCTGCCTCTAACTCGCTCATCCGCATCAACAACCAGCTGGCCCCACGGGATGGGAGCCCCGTGAGGGCAGGGAGCTTGTCCCACTGCTCTCTGAAGCCCACCCTCCACGTGTCAGTCTCCAACAAGCTGAGAGCTGTCCAAAGATTTCCGTGCGGGCCAAAGATTTGTTATGGCCAAAAAAAAAAAAATACCAAAATAACCTAAACAGCAGATAAAAGGAGCACAGCTAGAGAAATGACACGACAGGCTGCTACACGGCAGTTCAAAATCGTACTTCACAAAGCAGGACCTCAAAGTCAGAAGAAAGACGGAAAGGCCAGACAGCAAAACGCCAGCAGGGTGAGCCCCAGGCTCCCGGGAGCTGCATGAACAGACGAGGCATGGGCCCGCGGGGACCTGGCCCGCTGGGAACGCAGGAATCCCAGCATGAGGCAACGAGTTTCTAAACTGTACTTTCCAAATTTTCTACAATGAATGTATATGTTTTTACGATACACTTTTTAGTAAAAAGTGATTTAAAAACAAACAGATGAAGAGAATTTGGTCCTCTGGGTTAAGTGTCACCTGTCCCTTTCATCTCCTGGGATGGGAGACACATGGGCTCTATGTGCTGCGTGCCTCTCGGTCACTCCTTCTGCTCTCTGGGCCTCAGCCTCCAAGGGGAGAGGATCCCACGGGCTCCCTCTCCCCACCTCACATCTGTGATTCCACAAGGGCAGGGGCTGCAGGCGACCAGGGTGGCAGGCAGTCAGCGGCGAATCCCCTCCTGGGCCCCGGCTCACCAGAACCATGCCCTGCACCACAACATTGTTCTTCACCAGCAGAGGCAGGTCCTCCTGCAGGGGGCTGTCCAGGTTGTACCACAGCAGGCGGTAGGGGTCATGCCAGCACTGCCAACAGAGAAGGCCGTGCCCATCACCCCCTGCCAAGAGGATGCACTCAGATTCCCGCATCTCAGCCAGGCCCGGTTCCCGCTGAGTCCTGGAGCCCCGGACAGCACCCCTCCCAACTCCTGCATTGCCCCAACGGGGCATTCAGCCCCTGCGTGCGCACCTCCCCTGACCATCCCCAGAAGATGGCCCTGGATCCATTTAGCGCCCTCTACTGGTGAAGGCTGTCATGGAGATGATTGCCCCCAGCATGTGACATCCACTAGCCTGGTCCTCTGGGGTCTGCAGGACTTGACTATTCCCGCTGCCTGGGAGAAGCCCTGCGGAGGTTTGAAGGTGTACCATGTTCCTGGTGTACCCGTTTCCAGGATTCCTCCACCCCTTACTCCCCTAGGGCTGCCCCTCTGGACACCTCCCAGTCATCAAATCCAGCGCCGGGACCTGAATTGAACCTACACCTCTAGGTTGGGCCTGGTCAATCCAGAGTAAAGCTGGTCTCCTTCCCCTCCTTTCTCCAGATGCTCTGGATCCATTAATATGGCTAATGTGTGATGTGATGTTTTCTGGTTTTATCTGCCTTTTACTCCAGGTGCGTCCAGCTGTCCTGCCTGACCTTTCAGTTTAAGACGTGAAACTCAGACCTGCACCCGGTGTTCTAGCTGTCAGAGCAAGAGGAGTGAGGGAACGTTTGTGCCTTAACCAAAAACACCGGAATGGTGGAACCAGAGTCTCTGAAATCGGACACCCTCCAGGTCTGACCTCTGCACCCCTCAAATCCCGCTGCCCACTCCTCCATCAGCTTCAGCCACCTCTGGCCAGGCCCTGCCCCCATTCACGCTGCTCATGGCTGGGCTGCACCACTGTGCGTTCTCTGCTTAAGAACAATTATAAGAGGACAGTTAATAGCCGCCAGCTACACCAAAGTCAACCCTGAGTTCCCCCGTGGGCAGGGATGACATCCGTCTGTACACAGATGGGCCAGAGCAGGTCTCACTAAGTGTTCACTGAATCTGACTGAATTGGAATGGACTCCAGAAGACATCTGTGGCTTTGACATACGAGACTAGTAAAAATTAGCCTCCTGGTGTCGGACCAGAAGGGTTCCAACACCAGCCTCCTGGCACAGGCTGGAGTGCAGGCCCGAGGGTAGGCTGCGGGGGTCAGGGAGGCGGTTTTCCTGGCAGGAGGGCTGGAGAAGGTGTCCCCAGGGCATACACAAACACTTAGAACTCGGGGCTGCGGCCAAAGGGAGACAGGGCAGAGACAGTGGATTCGAGAGGGCACCAGGGCAAAGAGGGCTTGAAGGAAGGCACCACGTGGACATGAAGCTCTCTGCTCCAGCCGGTCTGGGGGTGGGGCCACCCCTTGAACTGTGCTAACCCTGCCAGGAATGGCTGCTAACTCAGGATGATGATGAGACTTACGGACAACTCTGCAGCAAGTAGGTGGGGGTGGTCACATGTTCCCCTGACCGGCCAACCCTTGGGACTTCCACCACATGAACCGGGACCTAAAGCAGCCCTCTTCCCCCATCCACCTTGGCACAAGACGCTCCCTCTGCCAGGAACCCTCACCTGCCTGCGAAAACCCCCTCGGCCCGGGAAACCATCCCTGACCGTCAGGAGGCAGCAGGCCCTGTTCCCGGCTCCCGCACGCCCAGAGCTGTCCTCTCGTGGCCCTCCTTGGGGCCCGCTGTGGTCACTGCCCCAGCAGGCTGGGAGCCCCTCTGGGGTCCTGCACAGGACGCGTGCACAGTAGGTACTCGGCCATTGTCCGCACACGTTCCTGAGCCCTGGGGATGCGGTGCTGACGTGGCTCTGTTCTGAATTCTCTCACAGTAAAGAAGCACCCCGTGCGTGAGTGCTCTGGGAGAACACGACAGTGCTGGACCTCGTCTAAAGGCTCAGAAAAGGCACCCGCCTTGCCGTGGTGACATTCACCCTGGGACAGGAGGGTGAGCGGGAGAGAGGGAAGAGGGAGGGGGCAGGAGCTGGGAACAGTGTGTGCGAAGGCCAGGAGGAGAGAAGGAAGTGCAAGAAGGGCTGCTGTGCTGAGGCCCCGGGGCAGCCTCTTGGTCAGATGTGCAGTCAGTCCTGGCCCCCATGGGGGTCTTCCTCTGCCCGCCTCCCAACCCCCAGACCTCGGCGACAGCTCAGCTGGAGCCTGGACCAACCTGGATGCAGGGTGAGCCACGACGCTGCTGCTGGTGATTGTGGAGTGTGTTTAGCAGCTAGTCCAGCTCCACCGCCATGCTGGTGGGGCTCTGGCCCAACACTGTCCCGAACAGCAGCACCTGGGTGGGGTGACGGGGCACCAAGAGGAAGCCTTCCAGCTCCACGTTGGACACCAGGGGCGCCTTCACTAAGCACCTGCAGCCATGGCTGATGTCTTCCTTTCAAATGAGCTTCCACAGCAGCAGTGGGCAGTTGGAGGGCGAGGCCTCCCACCTGGTGGGGCTGTGCACCTCTCCCTCCTTCCCTCCACAAGGAGGAGCAAGTGGGCGGATGCTCAGTGGGCGGGGCGCAGGCCTCTGCCCCCAGGCCCCCCAGACCCCGGCTCTAGATGGACAAAGGCCCTGCTGCTGCAGAGCTCAGGCTCCAGGTGGTTCTAGCCTGGTCTTCACCACTGACCTGCAGCACGGCCTTGGATGGGTCCCCTCACCTCTCTGGGCCTCGGCTTCCTCAGGTACTGAACGAGATTAATAAGTGACGTGTTCATCCATCCAACAAAAGCCACGGAGTCATCCTGAACTCCTCTTTCTCTTACACCTCATGTCCCATCCTCCCATCCAGTCTACCAGCAAGCCTGTCCACTCTACCTTCAAGACAGATGCAGACCCCGACCACTTTCCTGCCCTCTACTGCTATTAACATGGGCCAGGCCTCCAGCGTTTCTTGCCTGGATGCCTCCCAGTGCTTCCTAATGGTCTTCTGCTTTCTCCTCTGGCCCCTCTTCAGTCTGTTCTCCCCACAGCAGACTGAGGGATCCTGCTAGAACCCAAGTTACATCATGTCACTACTCTCTTCCAGACCCTCCAGTGGCTTTCCACCTTTCAGAGAATGAAAGCCAAGGGCCCTACAATGCCCTTCAAGGCTGTACATGATCTGACCCCCTTCCTCATCCCCTTGACCTCTTATTCTTCTCCAACACTCTCACCTTTGCTCACTGGCCTCAGCCACTCTGGCCTCTGCTTATCCTCCAACCTCAGGGCCTTTGGTCTTACTGTTCCTTCTGCCTGCTTGGCTCTTCCTCCAGAGAACCACACAACTCACTTTCTCACTTCCTTTACATCTTTATGCAAATGTCTCCTTCTCAGTGAGACTTTCTCTGACCATCCTGTTCAGAATTGTGTGCCTTTACTTCCAACACTCCTTCCCCTTCCCTGCCTATTTTCCTCCTTACTATCTAACATACTATACATTTTGCTTATTTATTTTGGCTATTGTACTTCTCCCTCCCACTAGAACATAAATTCCATTAGTTCATGAGTTTGGAGTGTTTTGCTCAGTGGAGTAAATAGTAGCCCTTGGCAAATAGGAAAGATTCAATAGAGACTCGATAACTACTCAAGCAAATACTAATCAGGCACCTAATATGTGCCAGACACTGTACTGGGTTGCTGGAGGATTGTGAGGGTTGCTGTATTTAGATGAGAATAAGCACCATCTAAATATAAAGTGCTGCTATGACTTTATTCTCATCATTCCTACTGCCTTACATCATGGTTAGCATTTTACAGCATCCACAGCCCTTGGCATAAACATTGTCTTGGTTAGTTTTGTAATAACCTGTATAATAGGCTGCGCAGAAACTATTATCACTGTTTACAGGTCAGAAAACAGAAGGCTCCCACTAGGTGAATGGGTTGCCCAAGTTCACACAGCAATTAAGTGGCAAGGGCTAGGATTAGAAACCAGGTCATCCCAACAAGAGCAATGCAAGTAATTTACTACTCATAATTTTTCAGAGGCTATTTGATACTAATAAATACTTGCTAAACAAACTAAAGAATATCTCTCGTTCAAGAATATGAACATCTGGAGGGGAAAAGGTTGGATCTATTAATCATAAGTTATACCAGTATAAATCCAAAATAGATCAAGGATTTAAATGTGGGAAAATTAAACCATAAAAGTTCTAGTAGAATATATGAGAGAAGCATTTAATAATGTTGGAGCAGGGAAGGCCTTTCCTAATTATGATTCAAAAGTCCAGAAGTCATGATAGAAAAAGACTGATAAATTAAACTACACAAAAGAAAAAAAAACCAAAACACCCTAAGTGGTGAAATGTCACTAGCAAAGACAAAAGACAAATGACAAACTGGGAAACATATATGCAACTCCTATCACAGACAAGTGGCTAGTTTCCCTACTATGTAAAGAACTTTAAATGAATTAGAAAAAATTAATAACTCATAAAACATGGACAAAGGAAGTGAACACACAATTCAGAGAAAATTATATAGAAATGATTTTTTTAACTATAGAAAGATAGGAGTGATATTGTCAAAGATGGCAGAGTAGGGCACTCCAAAGCTATTTCCCTTCACTAAGCAAAAATTAAGCTGGCAAAAACTGTCAGAATTAACTTTATCAGAGCTCTGGAAACTAATTTAAAAACACAACAATCAGGGAAATGCTTAATGAAGAAAGAAACTGCTAAATTTTGGTAAGAATGTATTGTGGTGTTTTAACTTACCTACCACCCCCGACTCCCCAGCTTGGTGGCATCCATTGGGCTGGCAGCCCATGTTCCTGGTGTGGTTTGCTGGTACCAGAGAGGGCAATCTGGATTTTGTTCTCAAGGAATTGTGGTTGTGTGGTTTGACCTGTCTGAAGGTTCCCTGAGGTATTGGCTAAGGGGCTTGCCTTTGTTTTGCCCACCTTGGAACCTTTTCAGGGATGTAGCAGCCTCCTGGACAGCTTTTATCAAAAGCATTTAAAGGCAAATATATCAGACACAACCTCCAGGTGCCAGGGATAAAAGATAGGGCAGATCAAAACGTGTGGGAAGAAAGAGGCTATGGAAAAAAATACATGGAGGAATAAATGCTTTGAAAATTTCCATGTATACTAGGGAATCTAAAGCAGCACAGGGATGCCCAGGATTGCAACCGTGGTTAGAAAAGGCCTCAAAACACCCCAAGCTTTCACCTCTGGCTGACCTCTGGGCTCTGTGCAAGTGAGAAGTAAAGGCTAAAGCAGAGTTGTAAACAGCCTGGCTAAAAGCACCGATGAAGTACCCCAACACAGTCAATCCGCAAAGAATGGGAGAGTATTTTTTCTTTTGGCTCCAGGGGAAGTCTCTGTCAAATCACTAGCTGACCACTAAGCTAACCAAACAGAGACTTCAGTGACCACACATGACAAAGAATACAGTCTTTACAAAAATAGTTTGGAAAAGTCACTAAACAACTACAAACTGCAACAAGCAACAACAACCACCCCTGGGGAGAGGAGAGAATTTGATTTCCAGAGTTACCATATTATAATATTCAAAACGTTCAGTTTTCAACAAAAAAATTAAGAGGCATGCAATGAAACAAGAAAGTATGGCTCATTCACAGGAAAAAAGAAATTAATAGAAATTGTCCCTGAGGAAACCCAGATAGTGGACTTACTAGACAAAGATTTTAAATCAACTATATTAAATATGCTCAAAGTACTAAGAGAACTGTGGACAAAGAACTAAAGGAAACCCGGAGAACAAATTCTCATCAAATAGAGAATATCAATAAGGAGATAGAAATTCTAAAAGGTAAGCAACCAGAAACTCTAGAATTGAAAAGTACAATACTGAAATGAAAAGTTCAACAGCAGATCTGAACAGGCAGAAAAAAGAACCAGCGAACTTGAAGAGAGTTCCACTGAGATTACCCAGTCTGAGGAATGGAAAGAAAAAAGAATGAAGAAAAATTAATAGAGCCTAAGATACCTGTGGGACAACATACACATAATGAGAGTTCCAGAGGGAGAAGAGAGAGGAGCAGAAAGAATATTCGATGACACAATTGCCAAAAACTCTCCAAATTTGATGAAAGACGTGAATCTACACATCCGAGAGGCTCAACGAACTCCATTTTGGATGAATTCAGAGAGATCCACACTGAGACACATTATAATAAAATTTTTGAAACACAAAGACAAAGAGAGAATCTTGAAAGCAGCAAGAGAAAAGAGACTCATCATATACAAGAGATCCTCAATAAGATTAACTGCCAATTTCTCATCCAAAAATCATGGAGGTGAGAAGGCAGTGGGATGACATATTTAAAGTGCTGAAAGAAAAAAAAAAACCCTGTCAACCAAGAATTCTATATTGAGCAAAACTATCCTTCAAAAATGAAGGAGAAATTAAGACATCATAGATAAACAAAACTGAGGGAGTTTGTCATTAGACCTGCCCCACAAGAAATGCTAAAGAGGACGGGCCCCGTGGCTTAGTGGTTAAGTGCGCACGCTCCGCTACTGGCGGCCCGGGTTCGGATCCCGGGCGCGCACCGACGCACCGCTTCTCTGGCCATGCTGGGGCCGCATCCCACATACAGCAACTAGAAGGATGTGCAGCTATGACATACAACTATCCACTGGGGCTTTGGGGGAAAAATAAATAAAATTATTAAAAAAAAAAAACGAAATGCTAAAGAGAGTCCCTTAGATTGAAATAGAAGAATACTAGACAGTAATTTGAAACTATATGAAGACATAAAGAACACTGGTAAAGGTAACTACATAAGTAAACATAAAACCAATATTACTATAGTTTCTGTTTGAAAATCATCTGTTTTTTCCTATATGATTTAAAAGACAAATAAATAAAGCAACAATTATAAATCTATGTTAATTGGGCACACAATGCATGAAGATGTAATCGTGACAATAAGAACATAAAGGGGGAGGGATGGAGGTGTATAGGAGCAGAGATTTTGTATTCTATTGAAGCTAAGTTAGTAGTAATTCAAACTAGATTGTTATTGTAATCCACGGAGTAACCACTGAGAAAATAACTTAAGAATATACAGAAAAGGAAAGGAGAAGGAAATCAAAAACATGTATAAGTCAGGGTTCTCCAGAGAAACAGAACCAATATGATATATATATATATATATATATTTCTTTTCTTCTTTCCTTTCTTCCTTCTTTCCTTCCTTCCTTTCTTTCTTTCCATAACAAATTTCCTCATATATAGATAGATAGATATCTATATCTGTCTGTCTGTCTATCGATCTACATATCTATCTATGTATGAGGAAATTTATTATAGGAATTGGTTCATGCAGTTACAGAGGACAAGAAGTCCCACAGTCTGCTGTCTGTAAGCTGGTGAACCAGGAAAGCCAGTGGTATAATTCACTCTGAGTCTGAAGGCCTGAGAAGCAGGAGAGCCAATGGTGTAATTCTCAGTCCAATGGTGTAATTCTCAGTCCAAGGCCAAAGGCCCAAGAAGCAGGAGCTCCACTGTCTAAAGGCAGGAAA